CCTGAACATGACTATATGGTGGCTGGCTAGTTATAGCACTTCTCTGACCAGAAGGATGGTGTTATAGCAGTTCTCTGACCAGAAGGATGGTCTGTTCCAATTATGTCTTAAAGTTTGATACATTTTTTAAACCGCTGTTTAATGATATACCTGAGCATTGACTCGGAAGGATACATCGTCCGTAGTGGTCGCGAACATAGCCTCTTTGGCAAAAGCATCCTGACTGGCACGAAGGGCAGACCAAAGAACCAGGATGTTTGATTGATTCACACGTTTCTTCACATGACCCGCACACCGAATATGCCTCGTTTACTCCGCACTGAGATGGCTGACCTCTTCCGCCTCCAACGACTCCTCTTCCCGCTCCTTCGCCACCTCCTGCTGACGGCGGACCATAGGAATGTTGGTAAGTGCTCCCGTGGCCGTCTGAAATAAAACAGATTTAAGAAACGAAACATTATAACAGCACTAGCCATGGCTTTTCAAGATATTTTACTTGAACGTAGTGTAATTGCCAGTTCTGATTGATCCAGTGCTACATTTGAAGAATCTTTCACACTGACAGTCACAACATGTAAGAAAGGCATTCATATCTTAGACTAGTACTGCTGCCTTAAACTTAAACGCAAACAGGAAAATATACCAGCAAAATATTAAAAATATGACATTCGAAGTTCAGCGATGAAGACCATTTAAAAATTACTGGCTATCAGTGTTAGGGTAAGTCAAGAAACCTATCATATTACTCATCAATGAAATTTCTATTCATGTTTACTTCTGTGCGCCATTATTTTCATAATTCAACCCTAGAGTCGAACAAGTATCAATACGGTTGCAAAAATATAGGTTGCTGAACTACCTAGCGAAGCCTCCAGCCTTGGAGGTGTGCAAATTGCATGGAGCCGTGAGCCTTTCATGAACTCCTTCATAGGAGCAAAGGAACAACTAATGCACCACGAAATCTGGAAGAATTGCGAGTCATTTAACATGCTCAGGCGTAGCAAGTATACTGATGATGCTTATGCGGTAGCATGAGGAGAACCAGCTACGGAGACATCGCTCATGATGAGCATGAGTTGGCAGTATTAGTGAAAAAAACCAATTAATCAATCGAAGTTTATTGGTGCATGTAATTCACACTGCCATCAGCACATAGAATGATGTGAAATGGATCTACGTTTGCAGACGTTCAAATTTCATAATGATATGGACTGCTTAAATGACCTCTTATGCAACGAGGAGCGATAGACCAGTGCAACACGCTCCGATATCTGACTGAAGAGTAATGCGGAAACTGGATTATAGATTAAATAATGCAACATTAAAGTCTGCAGTTGATTCCGCTATGTCACTAACTAAATGGGGAAACAATTTTGACATAAACAATGGCTATCATTCCTATTAAATATCTGAAATCGACCTAGTTAAATCAAATTCCTTATAAATTAAAAAATTATAACGGACGGCATTCTTACTGCATTCCGATGACCGGATGCATTGGTTGCGATCATTCCTGGCGTAGCCTGGTTTACAATAATAGCCGGTAACACATGTTGATGAGCAGGTAACGGTAATCGATGCTGTAAGCGCTTGACACGTTTGCTTGCATGGATTGCCGCAAGTTTCGAAAGTTTCGTTTGGCCCACAAAATAAGCAGGTAAGCCCTGAAACAGTCACAACATGTTAGTACAAGAAATAAGTAATGACAGGCATAATACTGTTGTTCATGCAACAATAAAAACGGTGCATTAGCTGCAATGTTTAGTTGTCATTATTCCCATGGCGATGTGCAAATATGCATTATTGTATGAGTAACGTAATAAGAACAGGTCTGC